AATAAAACGTAATACAACAAGGCATTAAAACATCCAAAATGTCGCAACCTGCCATTTGTTACTAAATGCCAACCGCTGTCCACAAAAATGTTGGACTGAAACAATATGTCACCACTTGTGGTAGTGACATAATAAATGGATTAATATAACAACATTAAATATGATAGAATAAGACAATTCTTGATAGGATGATTCAGAACGTTAGGCTTCATTTCTGAACATTTTAGGTAAAACAATCACATAATAAACACCTACCTACTTTGAACAGTGAACACTTAATCTTGGTAAAATTAATTGAGTTATGTAATCTGTGTCTAGTGCTAGGGAACATTGAATCGGATCAGGGCATATGAAGCAATCATTCTGAATCATACTAAGTACAGGGTGTTTCATTTTTTCGACTTTTCCTGATCAAGTTCTTCTTTTGCCCAAAAGGTTTCCTGATGGTACTAACCAAGCAAACATATTTTCTACCAAATCTGTTAACGTTTAGACTTGCCTGTGGCGCAAAATATTATCTACACATTTGCGACCATTTAACTACTATAGTGGAAGTGCTCAGCAATCTAACAGATATATAGAGCCAACAGTCCAGCAATATTGAGAATAAACAAGAAGAGTCAAACATCAGCAATGGAGCTCAACAGCCAGTGACTATGGGTAAATCTTTGAGTGCTCAGCCTAGCAATGATGATGGTAAACAAGACAAGAACACACAAATGATATGGAACTCATGCAGCAGCCAAGTTAAAACTTGATGGGAACATACATTTTGAATAGTAATAATAAGCCTAAAATTAAAGAGATATGCATGTTATTAAAGAAAAACATAAAAATTAATTCCTAAAGAGCAGAAACAATGTCTTGACATATACAACAAGAACACAAATGTGTACAATATGTCCCCAACAAATGGGTGATCCCGTCAAATGGTTATCCTGAAAATGAGTAGACAAGACATAACTGTTTCAATTTTTGGACGAAAAAATTCAAAATGGCCACCTTAAAATGTACCCAGAATGCCAATAAATTAGTCAGCTGTAGATTTTTATACTAAGAACCATCTCTGAAAATTTGAAATTGATCCGTCATACAGAAGACTTTACAGACAAGATTTTAGGACGGAAAATCCAAAATGGCTACCTTGACATTTATCGAGAATGCCCAAAAACTAATCAGTTCTAGATTTTCATACTAAGAATCATCCCTAAAAATTTAAAATTGATCTACCAAACAGTTCACATGAAAACGCGTAAACAAGACTTTACAGACAAGATTTTAGGACTGAAAATCCAAAATGGCTGCCTTGACATTTACCCAGAATGCCAAAAAAAAAACTAATCAGGTTTAACTACTAAATAGTTAAAGTATGATAACTCAAAAACACCGTTCAATATGATACAAAGTATTATCACACGCTAACTTTTTTTATGACATTCAGAATGGTTGACATGACTGAGCTAACAGGTAGAATGAAGTAAGCTAAACAAGATGTTAAAGTTTTAAAAGCAATCGTGAAGCCGTTTTCTTAAAGTTTGCAGACAAGCATTTTACAGGGATGTCATTAGAATTCCTGAAAGAAGGATCAGTGGCATATAAAGGAGGAGCAATAATGGAAGGTGGCTGCGCGAAGCGCGTTGCACCGCACGATGGGCGTGCATCGCAAACTAGGGGGGTCTGGGAGCATGCCCCCCCCATAAAATTTTGAAATTTAACCTCTCTGGTGCATTCTGAGTATATCTCAGCACAAAATTTCCATTAATAATATTTATATAAACATGATATAAACAATAAGAAAAATAAGAAAAAATTGTGTTGTTAGAAAACTTTATTTTTAATTTTTCAGATAGATTATGCAGATTTTTGAACTTTTTTCTGAAAACATTTAACCATAAGATAAAATCAGTATTTTCCTGTCACTAATATCAAACTGTATATGAGCAATTGATATCAATAAAGCAGATCAATACATAATTGATTGTAATTAATTTTTTCTTAATTCTTAATTACTTTGTTTTTCAATGTTGCCCCTTGTTCCTCCTCACTCTGATGTTTAATAAACTCAATATTCCTTTCTGACACATTATCAATCTCAATGATTGATCAACATTCAATAGTTTGATATGTATTTTTGACTTGTAATATTTTATTTGTTTTCAAATGTTGCCCTTTGTGCTTCTTCACTATGATGTAAGATAATGCCAAGAAGATCAATTGTATTAATTAAACAGTTTGTTTTCAAGTTTATGTGTAATTGTCTAGTAATTGTTAATAATAATATCCATTGAAAGTTGGCAGGACAGTGATAAAGGTTTTTTGCTACTGACCCATTAATCTCAAAGCAATGACGTTTTGGGTTGAGAGGTCAATCAAAATGGTGGCCGGATTACAGTAAGATAATTATCTCAGTGTTTCTCTAAAACACTGCTAATTATCTGCCTATTATACTTAGATTTTGTCTTCACAAGGTAGGCCAATTTATATTCTTTCATTTGATATGTTTAACTAAATTGAAAGCCGGAGATTTTCGTCTGAAAGCCGGAGAATTCTCCGTGATCCGGCTTGTAATGACATCCCTGATTTTAGCATTTGACTTCAAAATGGCCGACGGTAAGTAGTTATTGAGCTAAAAAAAATTCATCCACATCTGTATGCACTCATAAGTTATCCCTGAAAATTTGAAGGTGATATCTGTAGCGGTTTTGGAGAAAACTGTCGGACGTACTGACGAACAGACAGACAGACGCAACTAGGCCGACAATATGGCCCCACATAATGTGTTTGGGACATAACAATCTGAATCTGCAAGAGTTATCCAAAACAAATATAGAGTTAAATATATGCAATTTTTACTAAAATACTACAGTGGTGAAATGTACACAAATGTGTGGATATTTTGCGCTACAGGGAATTGTTAACGAATTTGGCTGAAAATGTTTGGTTTGGCCATCAGGAGACATCAGTTGGGCAAAAGATGACCTTGATCAGAAAAAAGTCCAACAAATGAAATACTCTACAAAAAAAACAAGAAAAATTATCTTTCCATATACCAACCACAAAAAATTTGGAGACTATAACAATATGTCATCACAAGTGCCTGGTGGTGATATAAAAAATCTATGATACACTGGTACAGTGCTCACCATAACTAAATGCAGTGTTCGCGCTAGCCATTAAAATTTCTGAGTCCCAAGGACGCAACCCATTTGAAAAATTTGAGTCCCCATCTAATTTTTTGCGTCCCTCTTATTTCTTAACAGAGTTTAAGAAAATATTGTGAAAGTGAAAATAAAGTGGGCGATAATAGAGTGCTTACACTAAAATGGGATAAAAATGACATATATTGTAATTTGATGCATCCTCCCGATAAATATCTATCACTGGGTCCTTTTCACACAATTCTTAAGTAATGTTATACCAAAATAGTCCGAAATGAATAAAGGAAATGCTCAAATTAAGAGTTCTGTTTTCACATTTTACAAACTTGCGATCTTGAAGGTCATGTCAAGGTCGTGAACTTTTGCTTCTTTTTATTAACATTTCTCCTTATTCTGAAGACTTTTAGATGATAAACCTTGATCTATCATTAAACAATTATCTTGATGTATAACATTAGATCAATATATAATGGTTTCTAGGAAATAATAAAGATAATCGTGAAAAACAATCGTTTCAATTTGTGGGGAACCACAGGGGATTTCTGCAATATTGTATGTTTTGATCTTCCATTTCGATTGCGGCATTTTCCGGAATATATCGGAACCAATCAAAATCCATGTCTCATACTGGAAACTCTGTTAATCTTCGGTAGTCATGATAGCCAATCAGATTTGTCGATATAAATATACGATGAAAATCATGTTTCACCGCTACTGTGCTGCAGTAAAAGTTATCTTGAAGCAGTTTATAATTTTTGCATCCTAGGGACGTAAGTTGATTTTGATATTTACGTCCAACCTTCTGAAATTTCCGTAAAAATGGCAAAAAAAACGGCGTCAACGCGAAGACTGTAAATGATTTGTTAAAGTGAGGATTTCCCATGTTAAAAAGAAAAGAATTTTTAAGTGACAATACATTAGTAGTTGAGAGTAAACAAAATGTAAAATATACAAAACTTAGGAGATGTGTATCTTGAAATCATTTGAAAGTATGAAGTCACAAATCACCATGGTCTGGGAATGGTGATAGAAAATCAAGATGCCATACAGATGTGTGACATATACAAAAGTCACTAATTCAAGGTCTAAATAAACCCATAGCAAAAGGAGTCCCTGGATGAAGTTCACTTACTATATTTGCACATAGCCATCTTTAGACTTGATAATCCCAGTCCTTTATAAAAGTCTTTTGTAAAAATGTAAGAAATCTTGAAAACGTTTACCCTACTTCAATCGATGCATAACATTCTTAAGTATCGTTTTTCTAACCATATCGGGCTATCTGGAGTCGGGAGATATTGTAATTGACGAAAAATGTATTTGGAACTTATTATTTTCCATGTCGTCTGACCAGGAAGTCTTGTCAATGCGCATAACCAGGAGCGAAAATCACATGGAATGGAGGCGCATGCACATTACCCAACTTCCTGAGAAGCCATCTTGAAAGTTATCAACTCTTCAACATTTTTCGTCAATTACACTGTCTCCCGACTCCAGATAGCCTGATTTGGTTAGAAAAACGATAGTGAATATAAAGTTTAACATAGCCATCAATCTCAAGATGGCTATGTGCAAACATAGTAAGAAGTTCACGAAGGAACCTCAATTTTAAAACCTTTCATGATCTGAAAATCTGGATGTCGAACAGTTGCTTATTTCATGAGAAATATTCAAGGGCTGCTTCATATCCCTTTAGCATATTCATTGCAAATTCAATTGAACTAGTTTCATTTAAAAAGCAGGAATATTCAGAACTATTCAACAACATGAATATAATGTTTGAAGTTGGAAAATTTACGAAATCGCGAACATTTTTCAGATAATCTGGCCCATTATACTCACCCCATGTGGGATTCGCTTCTATTCCAAGGATTTTATAGCAGTCTTCAGTTTCATCTGAGGCCATTCCTCAGTAACCGCGCGTCACTTCATGGAGATTGGTCTCGCAAGAAGCAACAGTAGGCATCCCATAAAACATCTAAATTTTTGGATTTGGACCTGGACAAAATGGCGTATGGTTACCGTTCACCCGAATTACGGACTAATTTCAAATAAGGCATGGTAAAAATTACCTCCATTCAGATAACGGACTCTAGAAACCAAGGTAATATACGGGTACCTGTTGACCTTTGAAAGGTCAAGGCTTACACTGCACGAAATGTCTTGTTTACATGCTAGCATCTCGCGGATTGTCGTCATACAATCCCCGGGACATAAAACTCAAATAATGATTTAATATGTTCGAGGCCCCCGTAGCCACTTACTCCCACAAGATAACACGCTTTAGTGATCTAATCCATTTTTGAATACCTGGATAGACTTGTGAGATGAGATTTTGCATTATTGCTAAGTGATTCAAATGTTTTTGACCCTGTGTAGTATCCATTTGAGACTATACTTCTTAAAGTAATGAGAAAGTACAAGGAAAATGTTTGAAAAATGATGCAAAGCTCTATGAATTATATGAAATCAATAATAAATTCTTTAAATGCAGGGCTTGGTGCCTTTCAGGTCACAGCCACAAGATGCACAAATAGAGGCCAATAGATAAACTGATGCTGCCATCTATCTTTCGATCTGGTGTTCTTATTTACATCTTCTTTTTCACCCTGTATATAGAAGCTTACCCTGCGTGCAGAGTCTAGTTAAACTACACTCTGCCTAGTAGAGACCATATTACAGTTTAGTAGCCCCGCCCCATGACGGGTACCAGTGACAGTATGAAATCACTTTTGCCCTACGCGCTGACCTTCCACCAATCAGCGAGCTTGAAGAAACATACGGCAAATGCGTTCTTATTAAATACGCGCATGTCATTGGTCAATTCCGGGCTCAACGATGACGTCAGAAGGAATGACCATATAAAGAACGTCGGTCAAATTTGGCCGACAAACACTGATTGGCGCGGTGAGTTCACAGGTTTATTTTAGTTTGAAAGAGTGAAGACGAAGCTCTCTTTTAAGAAGTGTAGTCAAACGAATGCAAAGGGTAATAGAAGCTGTGGTTTGAGAAAAAAAACTTCCACTCTTGCGCGGAAAAAATTTTGAAATTTTAAGGCCCATTTTCCTCAAAATTTGGCCTAAAAATAAAAAATAAGGCCTTAGAAGGCCCACTTAGAACCAAAAAGGCCCACTTTTGGGGCTTTTTTTGGCTCAAAATTTTTTTTGGGCCCAATTTTTTCTGCTGGGCCCACCCAATAAATTCAAAATAACAGTTTAAATGAAGAGAACACATATCAGTGCTGACATCTATTATAATTAGCACCTCCGTCCTCCAGCATCTTATTTTTCGGAGGATGTACTGTAAACCTGTAAGGCAACATTGCTTTAATATCTTAGAAAAGATGCATTCAAGTTTTAATTGAAATGTGGGCATTTTTAATTGAGTTGCCATTTTGAATAAAGGCCCAGTTTTGAAAAGATCAGTTAACTGGAACTGGTATTTGAGTTTTCATCTGAACACAAGAATGAACGGACAAACATATGGTGTCCAAACTTTGGTGTTTGTATTTCAGTGAAGGTCCACTAATATTGTATTGAGTGTCCACGCAGAGTTTGTATTCTATATCTGGGTATACTATTTTGGGATACTTTGTGAGACACTTATGCTATTCAAAATGGCAAAAATACCCTTTAACCAACTCGCTGTGTACTCACTACTGTTGCATGAGCACAATGAAAGTATCAGATTACATCTAAAAAGCACGTCATCGTAATAATAAGTATTTGTGATTGTGATACTGAATGCTGCTGCCATCTTTATATGTGAACTTAAAATTTTGAATTTCTGTCCAAAATAATAAAAAATGTTTTTGTTTGAAATATGCATAAAAAACTCTTAGCTTGTGTTTTATGCAAAATGTTCGAACTAGAACAAAATGAACTTTTCCTTTGCTCTTCTAAATCTAGATAGATACATAGATAAACATGTCACTTTGAGTTCAATAATAAGTAAACAGTAATACTAGTACTCATATTGTAAAAGGGCTTTCATGAAACTATTAATCGAAATGACTTCATCAAAATTGCAGATTGTTCAACAAATGAGTATAATAATAAAAAGATCTTGTTAATGCAGGCTCACATATTGGTAACCAGATATAAAAAAGGTTACATAAACACACTTTTGTAAATAGTTTTGACTTTATCATGGGCTCTCAATAGAAGGGTATGCTTCTCTTGTTACAAATATGAATACTTCAAAATAAGCAATGTAAGACTTCCATTTTTCCATCATATTTCCAATGAGTACTGGATAATGTATGTTTTAATATTATCTTCGAAGGAAAATCAATTTAGAATATAAATATGATTAAAGCATAAAGTATGTTTAAACTCAGTTAAAAGACGACAAAACTGACCAATAAAGGAGGTATCAACATTTTCTCAAGTGTTGCATTGTCGGTAATAATTCAGGAACAGGTTCTAATAAATATATAATTTAATTGCATAAGAATATAAACTTTCCATTGCAAAGATTCTGATGAATTCAATTTTGTACTATATCATCTTGTAAAAAGCTGTTTGCAAATCTGTTATATTTGAACTTTTCTGACTTCCTCTATGTACTTAACTGCTATTAAGGGTTTTGATGGTAAATAGGCCCATATTTGTCTTTTCCTCTTTGGGAGGGGGATGAGACTTTCAGGTAATTCAATTATCTCGTATCATTTAAATTTGTAAATCTCTATAATTTGCAAATTTTTCAGGATTTCTATTCATTTTGTTCATGAAAAATAAATACACAGAATAAACACTTCATGACCTTATATAATTTATTTCATTTTATAATACTATAATATATATATTATACCTTATAATATACATGTATTATAATATAAATATAACATCTAAAATTTGGCTACCACTGACAACAAATATACATTCAACACAGTAGCATACTCCTGACATATTGTACATACCATACATATTGTACATACTTTACATATTGTATTATGTTCATTTACATATCTTCAGCTTATACCTGTATAAGCATTTACTGTACATCATAAAAACAATAAGAGGCATTAACAAGCAAAATGTCACCACCTACCATTTGTTACATTTATAACAGACACCTAATGCTGAACACTTACCAACATCCATAAAAATGTTGGAGACTTTAACAATATGTCACCACTACTGGTGGCGACATAAAAACCAAATAACAATAAAGTTACATTATACAGTATATACAGATTTTTTTGTCTTTTCAAGAAGACATACAATATTGAAGATAAAATTGAAAGAAGTTGGAACAGTAAATGAGTTCAGTGCTCAAACAGATACGCAATTGTATTTATAACAAGATCATTAACAAGGCAAAATGCCAACACCTGGTTGCTCAAAGTACAAGTACAAGTTTCAAGGCTATTGACTTCTTCTGTCTACTTCTCAAGGTAGTACCATATATTACAACCAATTCTATAATATGTCACTATGGTAACAGACATTGACTAATATGGTAAGAATCCCATCACATATAAACAGGTGTTCACTACATAAATACATATCCAACCTTTACTTTTGAAATCAGGCAGTATTACAACCAGTTCTAAGTGTTTTTCCTTTTCATTTCCATGGTAACAGATATTACCAATTATGTATTCCAACTCAGAACATGTCAATATGTGTTGACAGTAAACAATGTTAACAGTAACAATTTCAAGTCAATTTTCTAAGTTATTGAAAAGTACAAAGGTAGGCATCAAATGCCAATCACAACCTGTCACAATAGAATAAAAATACATATTTTAACATTTCATTTGCTTAGCAGAACAGAAAGATGACAGTTAAAGTAGATTTATCTAAGACCTCAACATATAAATAATCTAATGAACCCCATCCTTCTCTAAATAAAAAAAAAATTAATGGGTATTTATGGGCACTGGCCTCGTACACATTAACAAAATTACTCATTACAAAAAATTATTTATATACTGTATCGAAGTCTAACATCAAATCTCTGGCCCTTCCCATATCCATACACCTGCTTTTAAAGGTATGTACAATAGTGGAAGGGGGGGGGGGGTGTTACACAAAGGTTTGATGCAAGTCTATTTTATATATTCATTAAAAAATTCCCCCAAATTTGTCCTTACTTCCTCCTTGTATTAACTTAAATGTTTTGAATTATATTAAAAATGAGAGACAACTATTATTTGATGATGCATAAGCCACACTGCAGTTTGTTCATTCAACATCTCATGTATTATGTAATCTATCACTTTACAAAAGAAAATGATGGGTAGGATGCAACTTCAGTTGATGATAGTGACCCTCCTTTAAAATAGGATGATGGGAGTTAACCCTCCTATACAATGTGATTGGAGTAACAACATTCAAATAGGAGAGACCAGACAAGCTTTTACAATCTGAGATTCTGAATATTATGTCATTTATGATGATGAAGAAGGAGACACTTATTAATTACAAAGCAAAAATAAAAATGCATGCCACCTCACAGGCCGACACCTAGTTGCTCATAGCATTAGAGTACAAGTTTCAAGGCTACTGACTTTTTCTGTCTATTTCTCAAGGTAGTACCATATATTACAACCAATTCTATAATATGAAACCATGGTAACAGACGTTGACTAATATGGTATACTTATACCATGGTCAGAGCAATATCAGATATATATCAGTCATGTGATAAATCTCATATTTGGGACAGGGATTATATCAGGGATGATATCAGGATTAGAGGGATGATATTTATATTATCCCGGGTAAATATTTTTCATTTTTCAAAAGTTTTCATTTTTTCCAAAAAAGTTCATTTTTTGGAAAAATAAATTTTTCATTTTTTTGGAAAATTTAATTTTTTCATTAAAATTAATTTTAATTTTTCAAATTTTTCTTTTTCCTAAATTCTCAGTGTACTTTAGGGCGGGATAATATGTAACTTTAATATTCCTAAGACTTTGAACATTTTTACTTTCATTCAACAGAGGACTTTAGGTAGATATTGCTCTTGACCATGGTATAAGGTCGTTATTCACCTGTCGGGATGATATGAGGAATATCCCTCAGATGATATCCTTGTTATATTCCCCATATCAAATCCTTCCTGGTGAATAAATTCTTTATGCAACCCCACAGCCATTTAAATTTTCCTGAATGGTAAGCCTCAATTCACAAACAGGATGAATCCCCAAGGAGGATTGGAAGCCAGGGTTCCAACTCGATATTCTTTAATCTCCAATTGATGCAGTAGTCTCCAATCCTGCCTGTATATTTCTACGGCTGCAAGGAGAATGGCTGATATTCTTAATTGAATTTTGTATTCATAACATGACTACGTGATACCCATATATGGGAGCCCCTGGGAGCCAA